ACAAATGCTTCGAATAAAAGTTGTAGATGATACTATTACCTATGAAAAATTTGAAATCACTATAATTTTAGCTTTTTAATAGTAATAGGAATATATAATAACAAAATTCAGCATGTTAGCATTGTTTAAGTATATAGCCTATACATCCTTAAGACGAAACGCGATCGTTAAATTTTTTCGCGGTCTACGAACTTCGCCTTTGAACATTATATTGAGAAATTTAAGTGGGAAAATCGTCGACTTTCCAGCTAACTTCGCTTGCCGCTCGCTGCAACGCAGTTATTCCTACAAATCGATTTTCTCTCTACGATAGCGGAGGTGATTCTACTTTTTGAAATCTCGTTCCCGTCGAATACCGAACGCAATATCGAACGAAGGCCGCCTGTTTCCGGTTCCAGGCCAAGAAAGCGTGCACACGGTCTGGGTACACGGTACGCCAGTGAATCCCATTAGCCTCTTTCCCCTCGGTACTCGGTATTTCAGAGAGAGTTTCAGTTTTCATCGATCAATGCGCGCGTCAGACGAGAAGATATCGAAATTCACGGTGCATCGTGTGAAACGTCCACGTGTCCAGGCGATTGAATAGAAACCGGCAACCGCGATATCTCGGGGGCAATGATGTTTCATTGAAACGTTGGAAAAGAGAAAGAAAAAGAAACGAGACGGTGATTTCACGTTGGGAGACGATCGTCTGGTTCACCTTTCAAGCATTATTTAATAATCATTCTTTACGTTGATATCTCAAGGCACGCCGGTTTCGAACATGCTTAGTCATAGATTTAAAAAAAGATGGATTCATTATGAGTCAGTTAAATTGAGAATTCATCGAACCCTATAGACACTTCTCGATTTGTTCGGACTTCGACCTGTTGGACAATGAACAGGACTTACCTTCTTTTGGCTCCAAACGACATTGATCGAGGGTTTACCACGGCGGAAGTCCGGCTGGTCGATTACGTCGTCGTGGATCAAGGATGCGTTGTGGATCATCTCGGAGATCATCGCCACTTGTCGCTGCGATAACAAGAGACCGCTGAAACGAAATCAACCTTGTTGATCTTTTAGCTCGACTATTCCTCCCGTACCAAAAATCGTGAAGATGAATAAAAGGAAAAAGGAATCGCGTCGACAAACAATCGCGACGCAAAGATAGATTCGATGTATGGATTATAAATAGCGAAATTAAAATCGTTAAGTTTGCTAATATAGATGGGAGATAATGTTGATTAACAAACATTGTGACAAGCGTTTACTCGATGCTTGCATCGTTGAATGATCAAGTAAAGATCAACCGGTTGGTCGTTGATGTTATTCAACGCTTAGCATAATCGTTGACAGGAAATTGTACAGGATTTTGTCACCCGGAGGATCCTCTTTGGTAATCTCGAACCGCGAAGTCACGCTCACTATTACTATTTTACGATTCCTCGTGCATGTGCGAAGCGTACGCTACACTAGTTCTCATTCACGGTACATCTCATTCATATTCATCGCTGGCCGTTACCCACGGCGACAAGTAATTACTTTCAAAGCGATTTATGAATTAGAAAGAGAGACCACGCTGGCATTCTTTCGATGCTTTCTAAACGTAAGAAGGCGAAGCTACTTTTTCTCGCTTCTTGCATAGAATAAACTTATCAATATTTTTTGGTTTCGAAATTCGTAAGTATTTTAATAGGACGCATTTATCAACTAGAGTGAATTTATTCTTGGTATGAAAATGATCTCTTAATTGCTCGGTTTATTGACGGCGAAATTGAAAAGATTCTCAGAGGCGTGCCTCTCCCAACTCACTTTCTTTCCTTGTGATAATTGATAGCTCGTGCCATGAGGATCGCTACCATCGGTCGTACGGCCTTTCCCTTGCCGTCGAAGTAGTACGTCGATATAGTCTGCAGCTCCTTCTGCGTCGTGTTCCTGATGAGTACCTGGAATAATAGCAAACGTAACCTTGACTCCGGCCTTCCTTTCAAAATATAAATATTTATTCACTTTTTAACAAATATAATCGTTGAAACTACAGTTTGTCACAGTTTAAGATTTAGCTCCGCTTTCTTGTACTACTTCATTGCTAAACGCGTATGCTACCGTTTCTTCAGTCAACAACCTGGACTTTTAAATAATTCATTTACCTACACCCACAAAAAGAGACTGTGGTATTCGAATACCTATCAGGCATACCGTTCCAGCTGAAAGGCTCGTACGAATTACTTCACCAACCGATTCAATTATTTCGATTCAACGCAGAGGGAGAGTTACGTATTTAGTTCGATTTTCTACAACAACTTATCAGCGTTTCGCGCATAGGCAATCGATGCCCATAAGACGATGATGATTCGCATACGTGACGATTCGTACGGTTGCAGGTGCGACAGAAGGAAGAGGAACGAATAGCAAAAATGCGAGGACCGTCCGCTTTCAATTCCAACCGTGGCACGCGGCTGAAAGTCCGTTCTGGAATTTGGCCAAAGTCGAAACGAACCTTCGTTAACCGATTATTTCGCAAACTAGCGTAAAACCAGTTCTCCGACGCATGATAAGGAACTAACTCGGTATATTATATTCAGAATGATAAACTAGATTCGTAAAAATTTCATGAACAATATGTGTAATTTATCATCTAATCTAAATATACGACCTTTTACATTGAAAGACAAAGTTGATTTCCATAAAATAAAAGGTTTCAACATCTGTTGCCGATCACCAAATTGAACATTCTGCTGCTGGTTTGAAATTTATGTCTATACTATTAGCCTGAAGAAAGTAGAGCGAAACGAAAAGTCGCATTCTTCTGACGCATCAAATCCAGTGACTGTTCTACACTTAACTACTGAAAAACTGTTTTAACTTTTTCATTCCTCTTAAAACAGCGATTTTTTTAATATTTCACATGTTCATACGTGTGTCTATGTTCTTCCCTTTGAATTTGTGAATTCGTGACACGCATGACGGAATGCTAAGAAATACTGAAAATTGTACAAATAGGGCTGTTCATTTTACAAGAACGTCAATCAGCAGCAATTATCCCGACGGTAATCAACGCGTTAACTATGAAAGAGCGAACACGATGCTAATACGGCTGCAAATGACACGTAATTATGAGAAGGATCGGTGTTATCGCGTTCCACCGGCACGCTAGGCTGTGCCGCGCGAGAAAAAGTGCTTTCTAAACGCGTTTGCACACGCGCATACGCAAATACAATTGTTCCATAGTCTGCCTCCTAGTCGCGTGGCCGTGAGTAAAAGTTCTACTCCCGGACGATGGGTATGTATATGCAGACCGCGAACGCGCGGGTTGCTTTCGCCAGCTCGAGCTCGAAGACGAGGCGCCTCGTGAAAACGGCATTCCTCACTATAAATATTTATAATTACGCGCATTGCTAGACGACTCTAACTAGGCTAGACCAGGCGACCGCTAGTCTCGCATGGCAAACCGCGATTGCAATTCGAATTCCATTAGTTCTAATGAAATTGTAAATCTGTTCTCATTTTGAATATTTAAAAATGTGCCTTCTTTCCTTCTGGATCCTGACGATTTTCTCCGTGCTAAAATGGTCTAACGGAAGTAGTTGCCGATTCGGGACGAAACGGTACCGTGTGCACCGAAAATGGTAACAGGAAATCGATTTCAATGGGTTGTCGGGCTCGCATCGAAAAAGTGAGCTCAGCCAATTTGAGAGCGAAAGGATTGAAGTTCCAGCAAAATCGTCGCCATGTTATCATGCGACAAACCATTAGGAGATCGAGGATCGAGATACAGAAAATAGCTAATCGAAAGCATTCTCAGAATTTGATAACCGAGAGAACTGATCAATTATATAAATATGAATTCCTTTCTTATACTTTCACGATATTCGATAATCTATTTTTTTCTTAATTGCCACAGTTGAGTTTCTTGTTGATTTAATGCAAGTCAGCTAATATTTGTACTGATTACGTGATAGCAATTAAAATTCCTGAGATTCAATTACTGTCTTAAATAGACACGACTTCTCTCGGGTATTTCTACTGAGAAGCGTTTCATGTATGAGTTCCACGTTTTTCCGGGTAAGTAAACTGGTCTGAGAGATACTTACTCACATCATACTATTTCCATTAAAAATTCGGAGCGATAGTTTCGTAAGAACGTAAATGGAATTAAAAGGATACAACAAAGTCGATGAAGGCTGACGAAAGATAGAGATCTCGAAGGATACTGATCGTTAAACTTGGTGGAGATCGTGAATGATTTACAGAAGTTGTTACTGACCTCTCGTACATCTTCGTAGAAACCCTTGAGGTCATCCTCGATAAGTCGGTAAGGATCGACTTGATAATCGTGCACGGATCCTGGCAACTGTGTCTGCATAGAACTCATCATCCTTGCGACGTTCGTCCTGCAGTCTCGTGTGCTCGTTCTACTCTGCAAGGAAAAAGGATGATTCATCGTTAATGGTAAAAGATACGATAAAAAGTCTGAGCATTGTTTGAACAATGTAAAATGAAACTCGTGTACATTTACATAAACTTTAACTGCTATAATAAAATCTAGCAATCACGATAAACATTTTATAACGCAAGATGTAATAATTAAATGATATTCATGGATTCAGTGATAAACTGAAATGAACAGACAATTTCATTAATGAAATAGGACTGCGAGATGACGTACTGCAAAAACAGACTGTGAATTATAGTGATTGAGTTTGGGATCACGTATTGGTCATAAATATCAAACACTGACGCTGTAAATTGTTTAAAATAAGATACACAAGACCGTGCAGTAGCGGTACATTCGATCTGGATGTATTGAGCACATCGCGTGGCGTAGCCGACAGTAGCGTCAGTAGCGCGCGGCTAAGTCTGATCATATATCGTCATTTACTACTTAGAGCGCTGCAGCGCGTTTGATATATTATTGACTCTACTACTTAGGCGGACGGCAATAGAGTAAATAAATCTTTTCATGGTGAAATCAATTAGAGTTGGAAGTGTGAATATTTTGCTTTTAAGAAAAGGTATTTAAGAACAACTGTTATTAAGGTATTTTTTTTTAGAAAATTCTTAATCGTGATTGATTTTTAATGTGACTTGAAATTGACATAATAAGAGACTGACATTTTTATATCGTACTTGAATACAGAAGAATAATTATATTATTGATTTAAATCAATGTACTTCGTTATTTTTTAAAGATCTCATCTTTATAATTATAGCAATTCAAGCAAATGTTTATAATTATAAGATAACGTGACGAGCTCGTAAAGAGGTCGAACTACTATTTCGAAACAGTTTAAAAAATGGAAAATTAGTAAAATAGTACATGTGAATTGTGGAAAGACAATATAAATGCATAATGTATTTAAGTGGTATCTGTCATCTAAGAGATCCCGTCATCATCATGTCTACTGTTTGTATTTCGTGGACACGTAATAGGCTGCCGGTTGTTAAACGTCTCTTTTTCCCATTTCTCGCCATTTTAGCGTTGATGTGCCAGGACGGCATTCTTTCGGTCCGCGATGCCTACTTTCGTCATCGAAACTCGATTCCGATTCACCGACGATTTCTTAGCATTCACCGCGCGCAAGTCGTGGTGACGATACGTTCACTCGACAGTGTCGTCGCACGGTGTTTGCTCGGCGGCAGGCTCGTGAGATCAACCGAGGGATCGGGCGCGTGTCAGGATGCAAGTAAATGGCACTAACGTTGCTTCACAAGTTTGTGTCTTTGCCGGCGGATCAATCGGGGTCACGCCAGGTAAATAATACTGCTGGCTGGCAAAGACACGATGGATCCAAAAGCCGTACATGCAACTATGCACCATCACCGTTAGAAGCTGACCGATATCGCTTTCAAATTATGTTAAATACTCATAATCGTTTCTACCTGTTTTTTGTAGTCGGAAGAAAATTTAGTTCGCATTAACATTCCTTTTGCGCTTTTATTTTCTCACGATCTCATTCTTGTTAGCTACAAATTCAACGAATAACGAAAGAACGTTTAACAAAAAATTCGCTGAAATTGGCAATATGGGACATTCATGGATAACGAGGCATTCCTAAGTAATAAGATCGTTCATTATCAATAATCGCGAACTTGTTATAACGCGGTCACCCATAAAAAATTAGCTTTAAAAAGTATGTAACTATATATCTGTTTCCGCCACCGCGTTACGCTGAGGAACGATTTCCGTTTCACGCATCCACCTTTAGGTCAACCTACAATGAAACGGTCAGTATGTTTATAGGAGGACATGCAACATTGAGCAATGACCGTGTTCGATGTGTGTCCATGCGTGTCATGTGATTTTCATGGCACGGTATCCGCTTATTACATTCTTGGATAACTAGTTTCGTGGCAACAGGCAAGTTCACTACCCCACTTTTACCTCTCGCATATTACTTCGTTACTCAAGGCCAGCGACCAAGAAAATGATAAACCAAACTAACTGATTGAAAAACTCAGCTTCCCGCCTTTTTTGCAATTATTTTTGCGGTATCCTCTCATTTCTTAATTTTACTTATTAAATTACAGACTTTCTTTATATGCTCAGATAAAAGAAGATATAAAATTCATGTCCTCGCGTTCGTAAACATTAAAACATTTCTAATGTTGAATGCGTTGCATGTGTGAGGAATATAAAACTAAAAGAATTCAAGCTATTATAATAATTGCGTGAGTACCCCTCGCGAGCTATTATGACCAGACGAATCACGTATTCGTATTTTAATCAATCGACTTTCACTGTCAGTCCGCCGAATCGTATTCCCCCAAGTTATTTTTTATGGTGATAAATACACGTTGCGGAGTCCCGTACGAAATTACGTATGGTAGAAATTTCGGCACCTGAGAGAGTTCGATAACTCGTCTGAAAGTTGGGCGAGTGAGACCAGAGCTCGAAGAATGTGAAAGTATGTGGAACTGTCCTCCGGCTATCACAACATCTTTGTTCAAGAAATTCGATGTTCAACGAAGAAATACTTTAAACGTGAAATTAGCTAATCCTTTGTATCATTATCTAAAGTAAAATCATTGATTTATAGTAATCGTAGGTCTATCTAAGTTCCCACGCCATATGTTGTTTCGTTTAACGATATACGATTCGAAAAGTGATATAACGTTAGATTTATCATTTAATTATTGCATTGCGCCGTAAATTAAACGGAATTTTTTTATAGGTCATAAAATGTAGATGCGTCCTCGGCATAAAATATTGTAATGAGTCGTGCATGATGCTGCGTAAGTAATCTATGGGAACATGAAGTATGCCATTGAAGAAAATTGTTGGGAAAAAAATACGCATGCAATATTTGTTCTATGAGTCAGTAAATTGGCAGATAAGTTAGTACATATATCTGTCTCGTCTAAATGTACAAATTGCGATCGAAATTTACATTGCAAGACAGCAGTGTCATCCGTGTTAACGAAGATATTTTTGAAAGATTCTGTTAGATCATTGAAAGGAAAAGTCGGTCACAGCGAAGGGTGGTGAAACAGTTATGAAACATCCCCGGGGCGAGACGTGACGCGCGCGACGGTCAACGATCATAATTCTTAAGTCGATGGTAATGAACCCCTCCTCTCCGTCGACCAGAACTTTCTTCGATTCTTTTAATCAAATTCTTGTCGTTCCTAAACGTCCATACTTTCATGTAAATTAGTATACTATTTTAATCCTCCTCGCGTCGCAATCCAGGAATTCCCGGAGCACGTCTGTTACGAACGCTAGAGTATTTCGCAACACCCTAAATTGGTCATCAAATATTTGAACGATACGTTGGACTCCTTCTACGTGAATTAACGAATCTTTTATTATCGTCAATTCGTGTCTTATTAACGTGAAACTAATCGTCCTGCGTAAAATTCCATTTATCTCTCGCAAACCGGAATTTTTAATCTGCAAACTATGACCTTTCACGGCAGAATCTTTCGTTTCGGAAATTCTGTTCAGAACCAGTGCCGAATTCAGAATGTCTGATTCAGTGAAAGTGCTCGGCAAATGTTCTTCCTGTTTCACATACTGTCCGGCTGGACGTAAGTGAGAATAAAGGACGCGCTGATATTGATTTACGGTAAACAAGATCAGATGCTCAACGCGCTAATCGACGACGGTACAAAATAAACACGGGGAATTCTTTGATCCTGTTTCTTATCTCACTACTAGAACTGATGATAGCCGCGTAACGCTGTCAAACGTGTAATACGTCTACCGTACTTATTTAATTACAAACCGGTTCCGTTTACGAGCCAGTTTGCTCTGCTTCACGGCCGTTCAAAGCTGCAACGGTGGCGTGCAATCTTCATGGCATTTCACTGGACGACACATATTATAATTAATTTACAAGTTCGTTTCTATTTAATCATATCCGCCGTTCCGTTCCTTTTTTCTTACCCTATGATTACCGTTAGCCTTGCTCCATAAACAGACGTGGCGCAATCGAAAATAGCGGTTAATATATGAATGTAATTAGCATGTTTAACGTCGAGCAAAACAGTGATTAGAAGAAAATTAAATTTTCTAGAAAAAAAACGAGCCCGATTCTTCACGGCACGGTTGGTTCATCGTTTTGTCAACTAATTTATGCGGTGTAAAAGTCAAGGACTGACCACGTGTTCGGGATTTTGAGAACTGAGGCAAGACACGCCTTAAGTAAACGCGGCTAGAATATATCCACGGTCTCTGTTCGAATCGCTTCCACCGTCGTCTCGTCATTTTTTAATCTAAGACGAATCGCTCAAAAATATGCTAATCTCGAGTGTTATCTAATATTGACGGAATTATATAATTATTATAATTGTAAGTCATCTTTCGGGTAAAACCTGGTTTGCTTGCAAAAAATATTAAATACCCCAACGTCAATATTTGTGAACGGAAAATACGAAGTGTCGCCAAGTGAAAAGCAAGCATCGTCCTTCTGCTTTAACAGAGACCAGATAATCCAATACCTAAAGATACTTTCTCTGAAGTGCAGTTAAATAATATTTTACTCATTTTGTCCTTCCGAATTCTAGTGTCCACGCGTATAAATTATACGTTCAAATTTCTGCTCTTCTCTCGTCATGTTCTATTCGCACTGACTTGAAATGATGCTGCTGCAATTTAGGAATACTATCGATCCATAATAGCGTTAATATTATGCTACACAGGCTCGTTTAACGTTCGTTAATATTCATTGATGTTTCGGGGAAGGAACGAGACTTCAATCGTAATCATCAGCAACGGTGCTTGAAGGAAGGAACATGCACGTCCAACGATGATAATCAAGATAGATTCTTCCCTGACCGATTTATATCGAGATCATCAATTAAAAGACTTTTTAATTTAGAAAGAAAAATCAATTAGATGCGCGTATTAATTTAATACGTAGTTCTATTTCCTGTCTAAGCTTGCAAAATGGAAGAGTAACATTAGCAAATCTAATT